GGGGGGGGGAGTTACCAACACAAACACAAACACTTCTACGCGCTCAAAAGGGAAGAGGTGCCATCAAAGTTTGTTTTTTTACAAGTGACGAGATGAATGGAGAAAGATGTGTGCGAGAGATGAGAAATAAACACTTCAATGTGTTGGTCGGCCGTGTAAAGGCACCATACCACCAGGTCCTTGTCCACCAACACCCGCAGTAGATTGATTCGCCTGATTAGGCTGCTGATTTTGAGCTGCAACCGCAGCAGCAGCAACAAAAGCTGGTGTTTGATAAAACGGTAACTGTCCCTGATTCTGCTGAGAATAAAGATTTTGTGCTTGTATTTGATTAGAACTACTCTGTTGCTGTTGCAGCTGAGAGTTAGGTCCTCCTTGTTGATTTGGTGACATACCGCCAGCTTGCTGTGGAAGTTTATTTCCCATATCAGGCTTTGGGCCATTGTAGTATCCCTGTTTGAAGTTCACTAAAGAACAAAATGAGCAATCACTAAACAGAAAATAAAAACGTGTAATATAAAGATGAAATTTGGAAAGTACTTTGTTTCGGCAAACTCGAATAGAACATGTCATTCATCTCTTCAAAGTTTGCCTGCCTCATATTTTGGTAGGGAGGGAAATTAGTAGGAGCAGACATGGGTTTGGCAAACTGGTTATTTCCAGCATGTGAGAGAGGAGATGCACCATGAGGTCCTGTAGATGTGTTTTGACTCTGTTGTGTTACTGCAGCCTGTTGCTGCTGCTGACCCATGAAAGTGTTGGGATAACTGTTCATGAATACCATTCCGTTATTCAAATTATAGGGCAAGAAGAAACCAGAATTTGTCGTGTTTACTGGGTGAATAGGCGGTTGAGGGGGTTGAGGCATATTTGTCGGTTTATTTGACGGCATCACATCAGAAGCATTTGACACGTTACTATTACTGCTGTCATTAGTAACGGTTTGAGCGGGAGCAGAGGCATGGTTCTGCATCTCAAAGACTATTCTTGATTGATTCATTGCCTGCATAGATTCGTAATCAATCATTGGAGGAGTTGTGGTAGCCGGGGGCTGATGGAAGCTGAAAAATGGCATGTTTTGTTGTAAATGACTCATTATCTGCGGAAAATGCAGTAAAGTAGGAGGAAGGGGTGCTGTTTGAGTGGGCGGCATAGATTGTTGTGTTTGCTGAGGACCGGTGCTTGGAGGAATAATAGAGATTGGTTTTATCTGTTGCCCTTGTTGAGACATCCCACCAACAGAGGACTTGGACACAGGGAACTGATAAGTCACCGTGGGCATGTTATCCGATTGACTTGAAGACGACTGAGTAAAAGCATCACTCTTCCCCAACTGCATATCCTGGAGATTAACATTCTTCATATTTTGTGACAATTCAAGAAGATTACAATTATACGGGTTGTCAAAATTATTTACAGCTTGAGATTGGTGAGGATGAGTTCCCTGTGCCTGATTTTCCTGAATTTTGGAGAAAGATTCCTTCTGTACAGAGGCGGAGGCAATATTTGGATGTTGCAATGAACCAGAATTAAAGGCTTGATCAGACTGAATAATTGGAGCAACCGGAGTGACCTGAGGTGGAATGGTTGCAGTAAAGGCCTCTTGGAACGATTCAATTCGTGCAGGCATTTGCTGGGTAAGAGGAGCTGCCTGTTTTATCTTGCTTAAATCCAGACCAGCAAAAACGTTAGCATTGAAGTTTGGAGAAGGAATTTGAACATAATTAGTTAAAAACTGAATAGAGGAATTTTCATCGCGCAAGGGAAATTCTGTAGAACCGGGAGCGAAGAAAACAGGTATGTTAGAATGTGCAGAAGACTGAGGAGTGGCACTTTGAGCATAGGGAGAGAAAAGTTTTGCTTTTACGAGTTGCGCCGCATCTATCTCCTCTGAAGTTGGTTCTTCTTGTACAACCTGCTTCTCATCAATTTGCTTTGGAGGGTCCTCAAAACTCTCTATAACCCCTTCGACCTCTTTTTCTTTCACTCTAGAATTCATCAATAAGAAATTAATAAAAGAATAAAAAATTACTCTTCCTCTGCAGGTGGTTCAACGTCCTGAGTGGTAACGAGTCTCAGAAGCTCAGTGTCCTCTTGTATGTTAATGGGAATATCGACGCAGGAATTAACAATCTCGATTGTTTCCCCTTTCCACTCACCACATTCTAAGATCCACCCATCATTTGAAGGTAATTCCGTACGAGGTTTGTTGGACGGCTTGCTAGAACCGTTTTTGACTTGGTTGACCTGTCTACTACCTTTTTTAGCCCCATTTTGCTTTAAAGGTTTCTAGAGAGATCAAATAAAAAGAAGTGTCAAAACATACTTTCGGAGCGTCAGCATTTGCAAGAGCCTTCTTATTATTATTAATTGATTGATTTGAAGAGATTTTAGGTTGTTCCTTCTCTTTTTCGACCTTTGACTTTTTATCATTCTGCTTTTTGGTTTTTGCTTTCTTTACGGATGGATCCACCCAACTGTCCGCGCATTTACCATCAATAATTAGCTCAATAGCACATTGAACATCGTTGTCGGCATCACGTAAAGCCGAATAAGCTGTCTCAAGAGAGCAATTAGTACATTCTTGAACCTTGACGGATTAATTATTTATGAAATCCGACTTTACCTGCTCTAATTTACGTTTTAATTCCACCATTTGTTCGGAATTAGAATTGTTAAGAAGCTTAGCAAATCTAATCTGCTCTGGCGTTGCTTTTGGAGCCTCAAGAACACCTTTCTGAGAATTTTTAGATTTTCTATCAATCATAATCAAATTGTCGACAAACTCTGACCCCCCCGAAATAGTAGAATATCCAAAAACTGCCTTTTCAAAGAAAGCACGAAAGTGTTTTAAACAAAGCAACTCGGATTTAATCGTAATTAAAAAGGAAAACGTCATAAGTTATGCCATTTTCTGATAATTAAATAAAAATCTAGCTTTTTTAAATTTACGTACGCCAGTGAAATTAATTTTTTGGCATTATACTTATGTTCAGCTAATTTAATGATATTGATGGACATAAAAGATCTTTAGTTATTACAGCATTTAACAATATTATTTGGTTTTGGTTGATAGATTTTATTGTGAGAAATAAGAGGAGTGGTTTCAACTCCAAACTCTAATATTTTAAGTATTAATTTGAAAATCGAAAAAATGCAATATTTTTCATCTTCATAAGGTAGTTTTTAAATCCCATCAATTAATATATCATTAAAATTAAAGATTTACACAGAAGCTGTGCATATATATTTTGTGGGATCTAGTTTTATAAAAAAATATTTGGAATTTAAGTAGGTTCACCGTTAAAAATTTCACATTTTTCAATAGTTATTTTCTGACATTGGCTCATTTAACATGAACACCATGCGAAAAATAAATTTCTAATTTTTATGTCAATGCTCTCGCCTCAATTGAACGGTTTCCAAATTGTAGCACTTTTATTTTAGCAAATTCCAATGTATCGCTTAATGCAATAAAAAACAATAAGTAAGTGCATTTTTCACACAATTCAAGCTGAAATAGTGGTACTTTAATTATGCGCAATTGAGTAATTTATAATTGAACATTTTATCTAACTCCATTCCACCTAAGAAGAAAAGTGTTGAAGGAGAAGCAGAAAAAATTCTAATTAAAGAAATCGTTCATTCAGTATAGATCCGTTCTACTTCAAATTTAATTATGGACCTTTATGGTTACCTTTGATATGTCAAAATTGAATACATCTCAATTAAATAAAACCTAATCTATTGCACGAGATCCTTTAAAGAATATGGACATTTCAATTTAACTTTAACAATTAGTATGTTTCCCATCAATTTAAACCTTAAGCTATTTTTAATCGTTCTCTTATTTTACCTTCTTAGTCTATTCAAAGGATCAAACATATGTTTTACCAATGGTTACTCTATTATTTATTCGTATATATCTTAGTTTAAGTTTTGATTCATTTATAATTTAATATTTTCATTTTATGTAAAGTAGTTAGCAACACATCGGGTCACTAATAGTATAATATTTATCCTATCAGAAAATTCTATTTTCTAAATAATATTTTGCTACATCAATTTATTCCATCCTGTTTCCCAGTCCCAAAACCATGCATATCATGAGTTGCCTTGTATAAAAAGAGTTTATAAATATATAATCTTTGCTAATAAAGTTCCTGAGAATTAAAGAAACTTTGGGAAATACAACGATCTAAGGTTGGATGACTATCGCTTCAATTACATAGATAAATTGTTGGCTTTAGCTGGATCTATCCAATGGAATGTAATCCAGTTGCTTCAGCATCGTTGTGGTTTTGAAAGGCGAAAAAACGATATGAAATGAGGAGACTTCACTGACTTGCGATTCCTGCTAATCAAATAAGTAATATGCAGTTGGCATTGTGCGCAACAATTCTTAAGTAAGTCAATGGACAGCTAATGGATTTTTGGTCTTGGAGTTAAAAAATGATTAAGTGAACTTTGTACAAGCAAAACAAATGTCAAATGGTATTAGACCTTGGATACTCCAATCCATTCTTAATATTTGTTCAACCCTCCTCCCTTTTATCAAAAAAAGTAGCTAATTTTATCTGACTTCAATTGCTTTCATACCATGAAACATTAAAAATCGGTCACTTTGACTCCCTTAGAACCTTAGTAAACTAATAATTTCAAAAATAAATATTTGTTTATCAAAAATATTTTTGAAATTATAACCAATAAAAAATATTCTTGCACATTTAAAGATGTATTATATTGGCTGCGTTTCTATGAATATTCATCAGATAATTCTTTCATTTAAACCTTATTAGATGGTGATGATGCTAGTGCAATGACGAAATCATCAAGGAAGAACAGTCTAATGTTCGATATTTTCCACAATGACTATTCATTTTTGGTCAATTCAGTCGATCCATTAATTCCAGAAATGCAACTGAATACTCCAACAGTATCATATGCTATATACCACGAACCGACAAAGATATTTAGGCCATTTATCAGGGCAACAGTTAGTCAATTTTGCCTGTATCTGGATATCATTTGCATTCAATTGATCTAATAATAATTTACCAAATATCCTATCAATAATCTAATTGTCAACGTGTATATGCTCTCGCGATCGTGGGCAGCATGAAGGATTATGGTTGAAAAAAACAATAGGCAAGCTATACTTCGTTATATATCCCCAATTCAGAGACATATTTACTCAAGTTGAAGAGGAACCCTATTATTCTAATAAAATTTATGTAAAATTTAAATCAATAATAAATAAATTCCACGTTATAATAAGACATGTAAAGTCAGCAATATGAGTCAACCGAATATTAATATAATTGGGAAGACAAATGGATTATTTTGGTGGACTCAAGGGAAACTTGCTTAATTTCCTATACAATGATTTTGATATTCACACTCTTACATCTGGATTTGTAGGTCACCCCTATTATTGGGTAACCAGAGAGCGAAACAATTGACATTTATTAAAGTATGAGTTAGTATATTTTTTTGTTAATAGAAAAACGTCAGCTGATATCTCTTCTTTTCCTCCCTCCCTTCAAACTGAGTGACTGTAGCTTTAATAAAGAGCCGATCAGAAGTGCTGAATTCTTATGCGCATTTAAGAATGTGCCAAATTATGAAAATCAATTTAAAGAGAAATTCAAATGGAATGATCGATTAACCTTTCATCTGCAGTATATCCATAAACGTAACACTACAAAATAGAAATAGATGAGACCAACAAAGAAGCTTCAAATTAAATTCTCCAGTATTAGCTTTATGTTATCATTAGAGTTCTGATTTTCTCCAATTACTTTGCATGGACTTTCGAAATATGTTTAAATAAGGGGAACTGATAGCATTTTCCGAACCCCTTAAATTATATGCTTTCTATTTGATATTCAGTTCATGTACTATTTAATTTACTTAGATCCACCTTCAAATATGTACGATAATATTTGACTGCTGTCAGTCATAGTCGAGGCCATATAATCATCCGACTTATATATCTACAAGCCGATGACTTCTGCGCTCTAAACCAAAGAAACAACTATATGATTAATAGTAAACTTTTAAATCCTAAATAGCAGCTGACCCATACATATGAGTGAACTTAAAGCGGTGATGTAATTATTAAGCATTAAAATTTAACTTAAACCGATTAAATATTTTCGTACTAAAGGCCGTGGATTTTGTCATTGAATGAATATGAAATAAATGTTCTCATTAGGATATATGTACTTTCTAAAAAGTATTCAGTTAATCAATTGAATCTGATGATTCTTTTTAGTACATAAATGTCTAAAAATAACTGAAAATACATCGTAGCATTAAGATCACGTACTAGCTTTTAAATCAATCACGATATCCAATACTGTAAAAACATTAATAATTTCATATATGTGCGTTGCACGCAAATAAAATTCAAGGTATGTCGCAATGTTCAAATAGAATTTCAAAATCTCTGAAAAATAGTTATATTCACTATATTAATGAACAATTAGTAAATTTTGATTTCTTGATTATCGTATATCAATTTTTTGAGTTACAACCTAGGATAGTATAGCTAAACAATAATCATATATCTGAAAATAAGTTTGTTTTAAATTACCAACCGACCCTTCTAGAATCGACCTGTATCACTAGATTATCACGCCTCGCAACTATGTCTGCCACAGCTCCGTAAGTGCTTATTAGTCAAATCATTTGGTTTAGTCTTCATCCTATCATTCTTTGGGCACAACGATACAATTGTGTATTTCTTACAGTCAATCTTTCTGACGTAAAGGACGAGACTTTGGTAATTACACCTGAGAGTTTCGAATTCAAGTATGTTTCTAAGTATTAGTAACCAACAAAATAGAGGTAAAGTTGACGGTGAAACACCAAAGGACTATGCCGTAAAATTTGACTTCTATGCTGAAGTAGATCCTGAGAAAAAAACTCGAAGCTCTTCTGGTCAAGTTATCTGTATGTGCATTGAAAAAAAAGACCCCGCTAACTGGCCACGTCTTTTGAAGGATACAAAAAAGCAACCTTGGCTTAAAACCGACTTCAACAAATGGAAGGACCTGGATGGGTCAGAATCAGATGAAGATAATGGTCTTGGCGGTCTTGGTGGTTTCGGTGGTGGGAATGGAAACATTGAGCAAATGCTCTCAATGATGGATAATAAAGGTCTTGATGACTTAGACGATGATGATGATGACGGAAATGAAGCTGATGATGATTCTGACGATGATGGTATGTTTTTTGTTGAATTTTAACTTTCGAATCTTAGACCTCCCGGATCTTGAGGAGCCTGAAAAAGTTGCCAAGGCTGAACCGGAGGAAGGTGAAACGGAAATAAAGGCATAAGTGTTAACTCATCCCGTTGTTTTGTATTAATAAATGTATATCTGCAAGTCTCTACTGAATAACATTTGTTTTTATATTTGTGTTTGCGTGTCACTAGCCACCCTATGAACTTATTTTACTAAATGGTGGAGGTTAGAAGTTCGTAATCAAACGAGTTTTTTAGAGGAATTCTTCATCGTTTACAACAGTTGGATGTTCCATGTTTTTCACATTTTGCTCAAATAAGGCCAAGTTTTCAAGATATTCCCATCTTGGTCGGAGTGCGAAATACATTGTGCGCACAGCTGTCCAAGCTTCCTGTTTAAAAATAAGTTCATTTTAAATATGAATCGTGTATCAGATAACGATTAGTTAATTTTGCTGAATACTTTCACTGTTTTCCGTTCTTGTCTTATAAAATATGCCATTGCAAGCGTTGTCCCCAGTTTATCGTATTCAGTTGTTACTATTACGACTCGACCTCTTTTTTCACGTTGTTCTCCTATAAAGTTTGGTTGTATTTAAGATTTCATAAGGTAAAAACAATTTTGCATGTCCCTGTAGTTTGTCTTGTCAGTTGTCGTGGCTACATTCATTGATGTAAAAATTGATTTTGAAGATACTTACCCATGAATTCACATGCTTCGATCAGAACTTCATTTAGTGTATTTGTTTCGATGGGAGGAGTTTTAAGGTATAGGGCTTCAGATATTGCTAGGGTATCTTGCCTACAATGCATTAAAGGCCTCTAATGATGGTTTTACGTGTCCAGTTGGTATTATTCCGGGCATTAATTGAATATTACGCAGTTTTGTGCTACTATTTTTAAGGCGTTAGGTTCTAGAATTTTAGGACTCTAGGTTGATGTCTGAATGTAAAGCACTGATCTTCATTTTAGATTGCGTTCTAACTCCAATTTCTGAGATTATGGAACAAAATTAATTAAAAATAAACGAAATGTGCTGACTGTGCTATTGCTTTCCCGTTGACCCTAATGCGCTCATTTTAATAAAAGAACTGGGACTTAAATGCAAAAATAGAGGCTCTGACATGCTTCTACCTCCTAATTCGGCTGTGCTTTTAATGTCGCAAATAAAGGGACTTTAACTAATTCTTGAACTAGTTCTACGGAAATTCTTGATTGGAAATGCACGTTTAGCAAAATTTGATTTCATTTTAGGCTTACACATGGGAAAACTAGCGATGTATCAAGTGTTATACTGCGAAGCTTTTTGAAGGTACCACCGGACACAAACATAATTGCTCAGACATCGATAACATGAGCATTAATCCTAGTTTATGACTTTCTAACTTAGGAACTGATGGCAAGTCTCCGTTATTTAACCAAATGGTCATTAAATCAATAAGCATTTCTAGAACAACTTAGGTAGACATTGAATTTTTCTCTCTTTAGGCAATAGAATTACATAATCGTAGAAAAGATAGTTTAACAGATGATTTGTGGCTGAGTATAAATATTCTAGTTTGAAAGCATTGTAAAGGCAAGTAAGACCGCGAAAATCTGTTTATAAAATGTTTGGAAGCTAAATTTAATATTTTCGGAGCAACTGATTGTAATTCATAGCCTTCATCCCAAGATCATTTTGTGATCGATTATTGATTTTATTGGAAATGCAATCTCTCCACTTGTGTAGTTTTAAGGGTTTTCAGGCAGCTAATCCGAAATCGATATAAACTAGAGCTTGTTTGTAAAATGAGACCCCTAATTCAGCCAACTAAAGGTTCACTCCGAGTCGTAGGAGTTGAACTGAGTGGATTAGTGTCATCCAATCCTCCACGTGGGGTTCTATGCGAAGTGTGCAGAGCTTTTTTATATTACACTCCGAATTGGTTATAACAATCAGATTGATTCTTAGATGTACTTTTCACATTTGACCCTTTAACACCCGAACTATTTTTTTGAAAATTGCATTCAGGCGTGTACCACAGCAGACTGATGCCGGCCTGATGAGTTTTAGTGGCATCAGGCGAAGGCTATAGACTTATCTTGAAAGAGGACCGTACGGTTATAAGGGTGTAAAGGGTTTAAATTATAAAGGTAGTTCTTAACTGCCACTTTTTTATCCAAACCCCCCTCCACACCCCCAGATTCTTCTGGTTTCATTTTTTGTATTCTAAATTTGATTTTCATTGGCTATTCATGGTTGTTCAATCTTTTAACATTGGAACAGAATCGTGGAGTAATGTCGAAATTAGAATTGTCTTAACTTAATTGCTGTGATCTCTGGAATTAAAAATCCCTTTCGACTCAAAGTGTGTGCTTCTATCGATGTAATCTGTCAATCCCTGACAAATGGCTCACCATAAACAGAGCCCTTTATTTTACCTACCGCAATACGAGTGTACTTAGTCAATCTTCCGACTTCTTCAGACGAAACAAAAGTGCACGAAGTCCTAACTTCCGTTAACTCGTCTAATTCGACCGTAGTCAACTGAACAGAAAAAATTATGGAGGCCAAGCAGTACTACACCACAGAAAAATCTTGTTTTAAGAATGGGCAAAGGAGCAGCCACAAGATCTACTTGATATCACTCTTAACAAAATTTGAACTTATCAAATTTTTCAAATAAATAGATCAGTAATGGTGATTACGTTAAACGATTAGGAATTGTGGCCTTATTTGAATAAGCTAAGAAACTAGCTCTCTGTTTACTCATTATTTCTATGAAATAGCAGTCAGTCTAAGGAAAACAATATGACATGTTATGTTAACGAACTACATATTCTAAATAAAACAAACAGGACAAACCTCTCGAATGACTGCGGAAAACAAACAATTTTGGAGGTTATGCGAAGATTGTCAATGCAGACTTTCGGTAGTTTGTGCTTAGGAAGCATTAAGTATAGAAATCTGGGTACAACTTCCAGTGGATAGTGTTCTACATTTTCCAATTCCTTGATTAAATTTAAACCTTAGGCATTAAATTCAAACAAACTTTCGGAAGATAGAGGAGTCTTCTTGAGCACATAAATGGATACTCTCGAGAAAATTTACTAAATCCTCCTAGAATGTTAATCAACCTATGAGCAAATAGCTCACCTTTGAGAATAAACACATTTGAAAATGTTTTCTCCGTTACAAGAAAACTGACTATCTTGGCTAATCTATCAAAATCAAACAAGTTTAACAACCGACCTTCCATAAATATCTAAACGAGTAGAGTCATCATCATATATGCAAATATGCCATCGCATTTCGGGATGGCAATCATATGGGAGACTGAATTCACCATTTTTGTTCTATAATAACCTAATTCAGATTTACAATACCTCCTTTAAATGTAAAGACTTAGAAATGTGGCTATATTCAAAACAATCTCGACTTCGAACATCTACAGGAGTTAATAAATTGCTAAAATACCTAGTAATAGGATATTATATGGGTCGAACGTAAATGTAGTTAGGATTTCTTGGTTTAGCAAGTTATATAAAGCCGATGGTTCTATAAATTCACGCATTAGCAGTCGCATTGCATAAAAACCATAGAGTCATAGGATAAAATCGAACTGATGGAAACAAACAATAACCACTGATGGAAACACATGATTTCATAGAGTGGAGTAGACAAATTGTTAAAATCATTAATTTAATTCAATTTTGCTAATAAATTTCATATTTTGAACTAAATTGTTATTGGGCTCAAGCCATCTAATTTAATGTTATAAAAATGGTCACCTCTTAAATAAGGCTCGAAAATTGAAAGATTAGTTGCTTTTTTCAAGAATATGTTATAAGGAAAAGTTATTATCCTCTAATGTTCTTAACTTTACTTATAAATCCTTTTTACAGGTCCCTATTTGGGCTTGATCTAAATGGTAGGTTCAAGTTAAGGCTACTCCTAAAAATACAATATATAACTAAAGAAATATCAACCAGCAAATTGAAATTTCGTGAATTGTCATTGATTACTTATCAGATTGTTTTCATTTCATATCAAAATAATTAGATTTCAAAAGATATAGATTTTTCTGTTGTTCTTAGCATAATTGTCGATGCACATTTCAAAAGTTGCTTTCTGTCTTACTGTGACAAAAAGTCTGACTGCTTTTTGATATGCACCAATTTATATTAAAAGCTTCTCATAGCCTGCTATCTCCTAGCGCCAGACTTACGCTCCTGTGGCATTTAAACAGATGATTGCTACTAAATAGTAATTTATGTTGTATGTTAAATTAAAATATCAAAATAATAATATTACTAATATTTGTGTTTGAATAATAACAACACATTTAAATAGAATATGTCAATTTAAATCAAATGGCAGTCTTTATGAAAGCAATCTCTAATCATTACTGTCTAACGGCGTTATTAATTCGCTACTATATTAATTTTATATGGCTGGCTTAATGACAGTTTTCATTAGCTCTTTAGTTGACTTCGAGCTTTACAGGGTGGAGGGACATCAAAGTTACCAGAAGTAGAGAGGGGGAACAGAATAGTGACTCACAGAAGAAAATGACATACAATCGGGTCATAGTAGCTTGAAATCAACAGCCAGTTAATAGTCTCTTTTTCCGTATGAAAATACGTTGCTCAAGGTGCACTACATAGAGGTAAGTTTATAGTGCAACCCAATTAGAATTTTATATGATCAACAGTGAATACCTCCACTGTTGGAGGTCTAACTGATGTGCCAAAATTTAATTGAAAGAATATTTCCTCATACTTTATAATTCAGATATTCTGATTAAAGGACATATATCAAATAGACAAACATGATAATCGGACAAATAACTCAACATTGTCTTTGATATTTTTTCGTTAAATTTAATATTGTAATTTATGGTTACCAAAAAATTAGTTAATTATAATTTAAATATAAATAGACTCAAATTAATTGTTTCTATTTTGCTTAAGCCCCCAGACTTTTACCATTTTAAGAAACAAACGCGAACTACGGATTCTGCTATTGCACGTTGTGTTCGGCGTTATGGAATTGTCGAGAGCAAGCAAAGATGAGTATGATTTTGACTCCTCTGACGAAGAGGTAATTTAGATTAAAATAGTTCAACACAAAATTTTAGGATATTAGAAACACTGTTGGTAATGTTCCAATGCAATGGTATGAATCGTTTCCTCATGTCGGATATGACGCTACAGGTCGGCCCATAATGCGGCCAACAGCTGGACATCAGCCATCAGACGCCATATCCGAATTCCTCAAGAATGCATCTAAAGAAGAAGGAGAGCAAAATTCTGAGTGGCGTACAATTACTGATCCCATGACGGGTCAAGCAGTTGTCCTAAGTGATCGAGACCTTGAGATTATTACCCGCATGAACGCTGGCAAAGGTGTTTTGGGAGACAAGGAAGATGACGTATTCCAACCTTTTGAGGATATCTTTTCTAAAGATGTTTCCGACATGCCAGTTACTGCCCATCCTCCACAGAAACGTTCCTTCATTCCCTCAATTCTTGACCGTCGTAGAGTTGGCCGTATCACCCATGCAATGAAAATGGGCTGGATTAGACCTCGTCTTCCAGCTTGGGCTCTTGAAGATCCAGAAGATCCTGACCAAGTCCGCCGTTTTGCTATGTACTCTACATCCGGTAAACCGGGAGCATTTAACGATGACTTTGAGGGTGATATTCTCGGTTTCTCTTCATCTTCCGTGCCTTACGTCGTCATGCCAGATGTTTGGGCCGATCAAGATGAAAAAGAGAGCCAAGATCAGCAAACACTCGCTTGGCAAGCCAGTCTACCACCAACTTTACGAACTTATCGTCCACCTAGACCGTCACCATATATGCGACCTGCTGCAGAACCGTTGCCTGGGCATGCAGAATCATATAATCCACCTCCAGAATTCCTTCTTACTGAAGAAGAAGAACGTAGGGTGCTTCGTGCTTGGCGTGAGAAGGTTAAAGATAATCAAGCTTCTAATGTCTTACCATTTTTACCACGGCGTTATGAATGTCTTCGCCGTGTTCCATTCTCTGAACGTTACTTGCGAGAACGTGGTGAACGAGTCAAGGATATGGTGATGGCTGCTCGTGTTGAAAAGCAGAAAGTACACACTACCCCGGAAGCTCTTTTACCACAAATTCCAAGTCTTGCAGATCTGCGACCATTTCCTAATCATTCAGGTGTCGAGTATAAATCACATTCTGGTCGGGTTACTGGCCTTTCGATATCACCCTGTGGCCAATGGTTGGCGTCAGTGTCTTCAGTTGATGGGTGCCTTCGAATCTGGGAGGTGGCCAGTAACTACTGCTTCCGTTGCTACCGATTGGTTCCGGGTAAGCCTGATGTGTTCGCAGGTGCTGGAGGTTTGTTGAAACCAAAAGGTAAACAGATTGAGTCGAGGGATCTTGACAGTGATGATGAAGAAATTCAACCCTCAGCAATTGTTGCTTGGAATCCCAATCCCCAGCTGTGCTTGGTCGCTGCGGCTTTGTATGTTTTTTTCATTGATTTTGAGTCGATTTTTACAAATTATTTGTGTATATTTCTTCCCTTGGTCATTTTAGTGGAAATAAGATTTTCATTGTGAATCCGGTTCTGGGTGATCGTGTTATTGTGGAAAAGACGGACGCGGCGATAAAGGAGTACTGGAAGTCCCATTTGACTGACATTGAAGCCGCAAAGGTAAGTTAATGATCAAGTTAAATTCATGAATCCTTCATTTGTCTTTCATAGCTCGATTTAACTACTTCCTAAAAATTTCGGTTAATTTTTTGTTTTTCTAATTACGAGTTAGTTTTTTTTGGTGTTTGAAGTACTATTTTGATAAAAATGATCATTTCTCATTTTTATAAATTCTTATTAACGAATTGCGGTGGGTATTTTATTTTTCTATTATTTTGACTATTCACGTACATATTGCATTCGAAGGCATTCAAGTTTAAACTAAATCATTTCCAAATCTCTGGCTTATTGAAAAAACAATGTATATATGACGTTATTCTCGTACCCTCTTCCTGTTCTACCGTTTCCACTTCACGGAGTCATCGATTTTATGGAAAAAGGAAAGCTAAGATCAGATGAGAGAAGGAAGAACTCGAGTGGTAGGGGTTTGTATCGAATGTTTTTAAACAGACGTGGGTAAAAAATGGATCACCAATAGCCTATCGCTACTCGTTGGTCTCATGGAGGTTTAATTTTTTAACTGCACTCGGATTAAGCAGTCACTTCATAGTTTCGCATAAAGTACTTAATAGGTTTTTTGGTCAAAGGTAATTGTGAGGGACATGCAGGGAGTAATCCCTCAACTTGTTATTGTGATTGACAGCCGATTCTTGGTATATATTTTTAGGCAGTAGATTTGGATGAACAGGAAGAAACTGAAGAGCAGGAGGAGATGGAGCCGCCTAAAAAGAAGGGACGCAGGACCCCCAACACGATGCGAGGTCAAGTTGCCCTGTGGAGTTTCAAGGCCACCACCCGGACCAATGCTGCCACCAAATCTGCAGCGAGTGATGCTAACGCTTTCAACGTTCACTTTGGCAAACATTCAGCTGAAGTGGCGTCAAATAGAAGCGAATTCTCGGCCAGAAGCAAAACTCTGGAACTTTCTAGAGTATCTATTGAATTACACCAAGTGAGTTCTAAGTTTCAATTTGCTTTTTTGGATGTATATTTCTTTCCGAGGTAAAATTAGCCCTATCGTGATCCATTTTAAGGTTTCCTTTTTATTTCACCTTTAGTGAGAGCAGTTACTCAGTTTTCTAAGTTACTAACTCATGCCCTTCAATGATATTTCAGAGTTAAGAAATCGTTTGCTCTAATGTTGTGTTTATTGTGCTCACATAAGATCGATGTCCGTCCATGTCTACTTACCGGACAGCATGATCAACTGTTACCGATTAGGAGGGGCAGAAATCGATTTACTCTCCAGGGAGCTTCAAGGGGGGGGGGTGTCTACTTTTCTACCTTAAATAAACTGGAGTATGCAGGGGATGCTTAACGCCTAGTACACTTGGTTTAGGTAGTGCGTAATATCAGAATAAATTTACTCAAGTTGAGCTCCCGAAAATTCCTTCTTCCCCCTCTCCTCATCCATGATTCGTTCAGTATTTCCCGATATCGGCATAAAGTGTCCATATTTGATAGCATGATTTCGATCTCTGTGGTGGTCCTTAACCATCAGAGTTATTTTTTCTCATGCAGATGCATATTTCAAAAGCTTCTATTTCAGTTTTACGACCAATACCTAGTGGACTTTCCGACTCACCTGCTTTTTCGAAGGTATTTGTATGTACTAAACGTTTTTATACATATTACTTGCCATAGAATGTACTATATAAGAGGCCTTAGTATCAACACATGCTTTGTGACCTATTCCAAGGTTCTGTATCTAATGGAATTTACTCAATGGATATTTTACACCTGCTATTATTTTGCTCCATTTTTAGGAGTGTATTGATTTGTCATGGCATCCAAAAGGTGATTATCTTCTTAGTCTCAGTATCTCTCCGCTCTCCAGTGAAGCCCGTAGTCGTGCAGCCAACCGAGTTCTTCTCCACAGAATCTCTCGAATGGCCAGCCAAGCGCCCTTCGCTGCGGCCACAGGAGAGGTGTCCGGTTCTGTTGCTGAGGAATGGCGAGGCGTGGCCTTCCATCCTGGTGGCAAACCCATTCTTTATGTCGCTTCCACTCGTCTCGTTCATCGGTTCGATCTTGTTGAACAGAAAGAGCTTCCACGACTCAAGTTGGACATTTCCGACGACTATATCGTCTCGTTGGCTGTCCACCCAACTGGTAATTCGAATTTAAAACTTATTTCTATTACGCAAACATTTTTAATCTAAGTACTTGTTTTGTTGAAGGTGACCATGTTATCGCGGGAACAAGTGACAGTCGATTCGTTTGGTTCGATGCAGATATGGGCAACGTGCCCTTCAAAAAACTCTCCTTGAATCATGGAACTGTCCACAAGGTAGATGTTCATCTCAGAAGACCTCTTGCATCAGTAGCTCTTGACGATGGTTCTCTTTGTATTGTTCATGCAAAGGTGTCTGAGTAAGTTCTCAGGTTCTTGATTACTACTCACTTGTTATTCGAATTGTTGTCTAACCTGCTCATATTTGGTTTCAGCGATCTGCTCTCGAAACCACAGATTATTCCGGTTCAGATGATTCGAACTGGATTTCACAACACTTTCAGCTGCGTATTTCACAATCGTCTGCCCCATATCTATGCTGGTGGAGAGTGTGGCACTATTCGGCAATTTGTACCATGGCATTGAGATAAATTATTGTGTATTATTTCTGTCAATATATGCATCTTTAATAGAAATAAATATTATTAACTTGTCTATGTCTGGTTTCTCCTATCCACGCTTTGTTGCGTGTTCAATGACTTAATAATAATCTGATTTTTGATGTGGTTGCTAGAATGTCATCTATTTCTCATAGTTCATTTTATCCCACTCACTTGCCTGTTATGGTGTTGGCGTCCCTAACATTGGTTGATACTTTTTTTGGTACGACATTAAAAAGGCAAATATTAGAACCTAGGATGGGTTGAGCCTTATACCACTCTCGTTGTTATTTGACCTTATTCTTAGGCCAAATAAAGATTTGTTAAAAAAATTTTGAAATGGTCCAAATTCATAGCTCTCTAGTCATGGGTTTAGCGAAATAAGAGAAGTAAGCCTCGTTGTAGTCGCCACAAGGTGAACCCTTGGGAATATGGGCAAAAGTTATCCAGGAGCAATTCGCCGTTAGCTTTTAATCTATGGTTAGCGTACTTTAAATATGTTTAAAGTTAGAATTCTAATGGACGCATTCGGAGGTTATTCCAATTTTTCCATTTTAAAGAATGTTGATGAAAATTGGTGTAACTTAGAAAGTAGATGAATGTTGAGTTAAAAATTGGTCTCCTGTCTCCTAGATAATACCGAAAATAGTTGTAAAAGTCAAATATTTTTACGTTATTTTAGTTCTATCCAATTTAAAATATCCATAATTTTAAGGAAACGCTCAATTATATTAACTCATCTAATATTCTGTCAAGTCAAATTTTCGAAATCATAAAACACATACATTTAAATATTATTTAGTCATCTACATATCATTTACATGTTTTATCTGATTTATCCTCAATTAATGGAAAATAGCTAAAGAATTGTCAATTTGTTTCATTGCGTGGACAACAAACCTAATTGATACTGCGCAGAATATCAACTGAGCCGAGTATGAGTGAAACTCCACCTGCTGGGGGTCGGCGTTCGCCACACAGGCATGTACATTATGACCCAAAGAAACTCAAAATAATTCCTGGTGCTGTTTCTTCTATACAAACGTCTGATACACCCCCAGAGTATGTTTTTTTATTAAATCATTTATTTTGCCTCAGGAGTTCAAAAAGGTGGCGATTGCAGGATTTTGCGATCGGGAAGAATTTGGGCAAAGGCCGATTTGGATCGGCCTATTTAGCCCGAGAAAACGAAAGTCGCTTTATTTTATGCCTAAAAGTATTTATTTCTCCCAAAAGCTATATTTCTAGATTATGCTTAGGATACATTTCTCTTCAGACGAAGAAATGAACAGGCTGAAAAGGGAAATTGAAATCCAATCTCATCTCAAGTAATTTCATCACATATAATTAAAATGTACTTTTAGGCATCCGAATATTATTCGTATGTACGGATACTTTTACGATGAAAAGCGCATATATTATATGCTCGAATATGCTCCAAAAGGGGATCTGTGCAAAGAAATGGAGAAGTTTCATTTCAATCTCACTAGAACAGCAACTGTAGTTTATTGTTTTGTATTCACATTTTTTGGACTTGTAGTATGTTAATCAGATTGCAAATGCTTTAAAATATTGCCATGAATTTGGTATAATTCATCGAGATGTCAATCCCTCGAATCTCTTTCTGGGTGCTGGTGGAGAAGTTAAAATGGGCGATTTCGGTTGTGCGGTGCATACCCCCGGATCTAAGTAATTCAGTTTCAACATATTATCGTTCTTTGTTAACCAGACTTGTGGCAGTTTGGGGAACATTGTTTTACCTCGCACCAGAAATGACTTCAGTTGATTTTTCCCATGATGCAAAATGCGATGTTTGGAGTTTGGGAATCACGGCTTATGAAATGCTTTGCAGAAAGGTGCCTTTTAAGAAATCCACAGAACAGGAGACGTTGCTCTCCATTCAGAATGATGATATCGATTATACTTTAATCGAGTCTACGAATGCCGTTCGTTTTCTTAAAAGGGTATGCTTTATCAACTCTTTTTCTTATGCTGAATTTGCTTGACTTATATTCTTTCCCGATTTTCCTCAAGTTTGAGTGTTATAAATTTGATCAAAAGCTTCCTTTTTGCAGTCTAATGACTACATAATTTTTACATGATTACTTGTCGCTATTTTGTTACTACAATTTAATCCGATACGACTGATTTAAGGCAGTTCCAGTACATTTTTAATTTTCTAGTTGCCTCTTGATGGTCAAAAGGAGATATTTGAGCTGTTAATTCAGGGTCTTATTGCATTCAGCTTTTCTCCTAAACTATGCAGTGTATTCTAATTTCAGCCTTATATTGAATTTTCGCTGTTTTGGGTTGGTTATCTGAAAATAATATTCACCAACTTTTTTAAAATCGACCGAGTTAGCCTGCAATGAAAACACTGTTCATCGTTACCCTTGTCTAATATTCGCAGATGGAGGTTAGTGGCTTGGTAATAAATATTCTACTCTACTTAAATCTCACACGGGAACTTAAAGGAAGGGTGTTATCTTCGTTATTGGCTCATTTTCAAAGAATTTTTCTCATTTCCCTCTTCGAGAGTCTATTTCAAGACTTACTTTCAATGTGTTCTTGTTATATTGTTTCTAGTTGGGTAAATAGTCCATGTATCTAATATGTCTCGGGTCTGTCAGATAAAGATGATAATCGCGAATTCCTCAAATTTTGCTTTTTAATGTCAGAATGTATTTGAAGCGGCTCTTTTGATGATCATTTATATGACTGGTCCCCTCGTATTTATTTGCTAATAAGTGATTATAGCTCATCGAACAATTATTCTCAAGGTTATCCCTATAATTAACCTTAACACACAATCGATATAATATTGCAGTTAATGTTTATCCATTCACTTCTTTCGATAGTTGCTAGAGAAAAATCCTGAGGATCGAATATCAGCCACAGATGTTCTGAATGATCCTTGGGTTTGTCAACATGCCGAGGATTCACTCACCCAATGTCATGCCGCTTTAGCCGATTGGGAAAACGCCAAGCATCAACACTGCTCCATGGAGGTTCACTAATTCTTCTCTTCGTTCCCCCTTGTCTTTCATGTTTTCCCCTTCTCCAAACTCCCTCTAGGTAATTAACTCTCATTCTGCATGCACGAGTGCATATTTTTATTCATGAACGCGGTTTCTACTTCAAGCGAAATAAAAATTTTATGGCTCTGATCTGACTTTTTATTATAGTAAGCGTTATATCTTTGGCGAGTGCTTGCAATAACTGTTTGACAACCTCCTCCCCCAAAGGGGGGGGTAGGTTCTAGGATACTTCTGCTTTATTTCGTTCATGCGGCCGTTTATTTTGCCAGCTTTTATCCAATTCCTAGTTAAGTTTGGTTCGTAGTGTGTCATGTATGCAGTCATGACACTATCTAGATCTCTAGGAGTGACGCATATTGATTAATAAACGACTCCCTAATCCCACCGCTGACATCCACTTTGGGGTGTGCGATAGACTTACCTCCACGTGGCGCACCCTGGGCAACGTATACTCATACGGCAAAAAAGTCTATTAACCGGCAGTTGACTTCTCACTTCAAATTACCACGACCCCCCTGGTTGTCATATTCGACCCCTTTCACAGTACTCACCTTACCTTTTTCTCTACCTTTGTGTCTGTCTG